TGAGCAATTTGGGTTTCGCCATGGGCATTCAACTACTCATCAACTCTTAAGAGTTACCAATTTAATTCGTTCAAACAAATCTGAAGGCCACTCAACTGGAGTTGCTCTTCTAGACATAGAAAAGGCATTCGACAGTGTTTGGCATGAAGGTTTGATTGCTAAATTGAAAAAGTTCAATTTTCCACTTTATATTATGAAATTAGTTCAAAATGATTTAACTGACAGAACTCTGCAGGTAAATTATAAAAATTCCAAATCTAATCGACTACCTGTTAGAGCAGGAGTTCCTCAGGGTAGCATTCTTGGGCCTATATTGTATAACACTTCACTGATTTGCCTCAGGGTTGCCACAAATCTTTGTTCGCTGATGACACAGGCATTTCCGCTAAAGGAAGAAGTCTTCGTGTTATTTGCAGCAGACTTCAGAAAAGTTTAGATATTTTCTCTTCTTATTTACAAAAATGGAAGATTTCTCCCAACGCTTCCAAAACTCAACTTATAATATTTCCACATAAGCCCAGGGCTTCCTTTTTGAAACCTAGTAGTAGTCACATAGTCACTATGAACGGAGTTCCAATTTCCTGGTCAAACCAAGTGAAATATCTTGGATTAGTTCTTGACCAAAAATTAACCTTTAAAGATCACATTGAGGGCATTCAAGCCAAATGTAACAAATATATAAAATGTTTGTATCCTCTTATAAACAGAAAATCCAAACTTTGCCTGGCGAATAAACTTCTAATATTTAAACAAGTTTTTAGACCGGCCATGCTTTACGCTGTGCCAATATGGTCTAGTTGCTGCACTACCAGGAAAAAAGCACTTCAAAGGATTCAGAACAAAGTTCTGAAAATGATTTTGAAGTTGCCTCCCTGGTACAGTACTACCGAAGTACATAGAATTTCGAATGCTGAGACTTTAGCACAAATGTCCAACAAAAGAATTAATAATTTCAGGCAAAAATCGTTGCAATCCTCAATTGCAACGATTAATTCCCTTTATACTTAGATAAGATTTAGTTTTAGTTTTTAGTTTTAAGATTTCAATTGTTATACTGACATGCAGGTTTAAAAAACCTGTTTAAAATACTGAATTGCCAAGGCAGGAACAATGTGAACACACTTAGATATATATCATAACAATTAAGGCTGGTAAGTTACTATAGTAACTGGAGCACATGAGTAGAAACCCCTATTGCGAAACAGCATAATCTCTCACAACATCGAATACACGAATACACAAACCCTAAACGACGTTCCACGTCAAGTTCTCCTCATCGGTAGTTTCACTTAATTTCCGCCAGAGGCGCAGCTGCAGCAAAAGAGGTACGCAACATAACAGTCAAATTCCGACCACGCGAAAGACAACAACATAATTACACGGACCCGAAACAACGTAAAGATACTTTTTTCATCGAATTCTAATTCTTTTATGGGTCTGATGAACAACATTACATCTATTTCAAATCAAACATTTACTTCACAACGGAAAACGGTAAGTTGAATTTATTTGTTAACTAAAGCATGCTTTTACTAATTTTTGATTTCTTGTATTTCTACTCCTCTTTATTCTACTTATCTACCTAGCCCTGTACTTGTGTGCGTGCGGTACAACTACCTCCTATTTGTGCTGTGCTCTTCTATTTCTTCTCGGTTAATCCCACGACGATGCAGCAAGCGGGAAACGACGAAGCTTGGCACCCGGGTGTCTATTATTGATGGGTTGGCTGTGCGTCCATATCTGACGATACGTGCGCACGATTTATATGCCTACACCCAACCACTCAATCAGTGGACTTTGTCCACATTTTAGCACAGCATTACCGTGGGGACCGAAATCCGTACACCTCATACAAGAAGTAGGCGTTTTGGATGAAATGTACGGATTTTGATTCATTTCTTAGGTGTATGGATTTCGGTTCGCCACGGTATGCTCTTCGAACTTATGGTCGGCAAAAAAGGTTCTCCGTGGCGTGGCGCCCTCACCGGACGGTGAGCCCCGATACGCGATGAGAATTTTAATCGCTATCCACCGGACAAGGTGACGGTTACCGGGATCTTTCGTCCCGGGAAAGCAGATGATGGCGTCGGAAGTTGGATGTAGTTGTCGGCTGTTGGAAATAATATTAAGCACAAAGCACAGATTTTGTTTGACGAGCACATTATCTGGCCTAGATTGTTTTTCTACGCACACAAATCTAACCTATGCCGCACACTACATTTAGCTTATGATTTGCTATAACTAAACAATCAACGATAAATTAGAATTTTAGTACAAAGTAAAACCACGTTGTTTTATCTCACTATGCAAAACTATACATTAACGCGAACAAAACGACACACTTCCACTTTAAACTGCGGTTCGGACGGATAAGATGTCGTCTCTTTATAAATTCAGGCTCTTGACGCCAGCACATTTTTGACCAATGTCCCCGTAGCGTATTTTGCTATACCTAAAACATGAACTATCACAACTTCTGAAACTCGCTCTCCTCCCGCTTCAAATGCTATGTCATTTATGCATGTTCCCTAGTCTACCTTCTGGAAGAAGAAACTTCTTACGGAACAGTTGAAAGAAACTTCAAGGAGGAAACAAAATCCGAAAGAAAGAGATTTCATGAGTACATGTTGGTGCATCATTCCCTGAAGTTCCTTACGTGTTCTACAGATCAAGTAATTTTCCTGATATTCATAAAACATCCTTCAAAAACAATATCCAAAATGGCAGAATTTTTGCAAAAATTTGAATGATTGCTCATAAAACACACAATTATGCAAAGTATTATGCAAATCGGAGAAGGTCGAGTTTTTTCCGATGCATCATTTGGCGCTCGTCTGTAATATAAATTAAGATTTCCCGGTTGGGTGAAGGTGGCATTGTTTGCATTTGAAACATAAGCCCTTTGCACATGTTGCTCTAGATGGATGCAATTTTACGACCCGACTACTTTGATTCATGCCATGCCCAGATAAATCCTATCAAAAGGATGGCAGGCAACCATCGTCCAGTGTAAAGGAACTTGAACTTGATGTCTCTTCATGCGTTCGACAGAGGAACTATTCGTCTTTTTGCAGTTTGTAACTGAAGGCAAACAATCTAGGATTTTTTTTTTACGTTGGGCTTCGTCTTTCTTTACTCTCTGCAGTATTGTTTCCTTTACAATCGCCTGTCGGTACTGGGTAGACTATCGTCATTCACCGGATATATAATCTATGCCAATTAAAATGTATTCCCTCTGGTTTCTGCTTTTTTTTTTCTTTTATTATGTGTGGAAAAGGTATTGATTACAAAATTTAGCGTATGCCAGTGGTAAGGGGCTGCGGTACGGGAATATCGATAAAAGTTCACTTTCGCAAGCAAGATGTTACCGCTAGAGAATTTTACGATGGGACTTTCGCAAGGCATTATTTCCCGAGCGATCTTTCTTGTTTGAGCTTCAGAGAAACTGATATACATATTCGTTCCCCATATGTGATGAAATAGATCGCGAACTATGACCAAGGTTACCAAAACTACAGATAAATCTGTATTTCTGCAGATTTTTCAGAGTTTTTAAAACCAATATTCCGTATTAACAGATAACAGATTTTTAAGATTTAAACAGATTTGTAATTGTGATATTTAAAAAAAAGACCAAACAGTTTGTACGAATGAAACTTGATATGTTAAAAAAAATGTTCACTTCAGTGAAATTTTATCATCACCAACTTTTATATCTAAACATGCTTTTTTTGCGGTTAGAAAAGGAAAATAAGAACTGTCTGAGGTATTGTTTTTTGCCAAGCCACAAGAGGTGTCACACGGCATTTTTTTTATGTAATAATGAAATTTTCCCCTACTAAAAGTTCCCCGAGGGCACTTCAGTGGTTCCGGAAGTGGCCAGTGTGATCAATAATCCATTTAAATTCTAAAGAAAGCCTACGGATGAAAAATCATGAAGAAAGAGGGGTCGCACGACATGTTTTGGTGTAAAAATGAACTTGTCGCCTAGTACAGGTTCCCCCGGGGGCACTCCGGTGGCTCCGGAAGTGGCCAACGTGGTCAATGATCCATTTAGTCTATAAAAAGCCTATTGTTAAAAAAGCCATGAAGAAAGAGGTGTCAAATGGCATGTTTTGAGCGAATGAAAGAATTGACCGCATTTAGATCCCTCCGTCAGGATCGATTCCAGAGAAAGGGCCATATCTCGATTGATTCTGAGCCGATTTTAGCTCTTGGTGCGTCATTCGCTTTGGAAATGGTTCTTTTTTCGGCGTTGTTACGTCGTCCAGTTAAGCTCGGTTAACGAAATTCGTGTGTGTACGTGCTAGTTTATTTGTGCTACGGTGATATTTTATCCCATTCCGCGAGTGTTTTGTTTTCGTCAGTGTGATTAAACAACAAAGGCCTATTACCTCCCCACGCCGATTTTCTCTCCTGAAGCGACATCTGCTGGCGAATAGCGCGAACCAACATTGCTTTGTGGGCACATCATCATTTTCCAAGCATACTGGTAGGCGATTTTGGTTTACATCAACGCGGTACACATGATGGAGAAGGCTTGCTCAGAATGTTGCCAAGCTATCGTTGGTATCGATCAAGTGGCTTGTCGTGGTTACTGCGGTGGAATTTTTCACATGACGTGCGCTGGTGTGTCACGAGCGCTTCTAAGCTACTTTACGTCGCACAAGAAGAATTTATTTTGGATGTGCGTGAAGTGTGCCGAAATGTTCGAAAATAGCCATTTTCGTTCAATTTCGTGTTGTTCACATGAGCCGTCTCCGCTTGCATCGTTATCGGAAGCAATCAACGAACTACGTACCGAAATTAAACAGCTTTCAACCAAACCCGCCACTCTTCCTGCTCCTCCTGCATTACCAAGGCCTGAACCCCGGCCCCCTCAAGCTCCAAAGGCACGTTACATGGCAAACACAGCAGCTCAATACGGATCGAAAGAATCAAGTCAGAATATTGTCACAGTTCAAAACTCTACTGTCGGCAATGACAAATTCTGGCTTTACCTGTCGCGCATCCGTCCCGACGCAACGAACGAATTGATTTCGGCGATAGTGAAAGAATGCTTGGAAACCACCGTTGATCCTGAAGTGGTGAAACTGGTACCAAAGGGCAAGGACACCGCTGGCTTGTCATTCATCTCTTTCAAAATCGGCCTCGACCAGGATTTGAAGACAACGGCATTGGATCCCTCAACATGGCCAGAAGGAATCATGTTCAGAGAATTCGAAGATTATGGTTCGAAAAACTTTCGGAAGCCATCAGAAGACTAATCATTGCAATCATTACTTGAAGACTCCCAACCTGCAGCAACCGACTCCACCAAAACTCACCTCATCACTGGGATGCACGCCTGAAAGCCTCATGGAAGCCCCTAATCCTATCGTCACAGTCGAGCCATTCCTGCCAGCGTCCTACAGCCATCCCGGTCCTGTGCACGATATCGGTGAAGGGGTCTTCCAACCAGCTATTTCAGGCAAGTACAAAATCGATTTGAACATTTCACTTCCGGTAATGCCCATCGCTTCCAGCCGTTCAACGCCAGGAGATCAAAGTTCGAAACCTCACCGATGCTTCTCGGAGGATCTCGGCGAATTCAGTCGATCATCGTTTCCTACCTTCTCATCATCAGCACTCAAGCCACCGGGATGCACGCCTGCAAGCCTCACGGAAGCCCCAAATCCTATCGTCACAGTCGAGCCATTCCTGCCAGCGACCAGCAGTCATCCCGGTCCTGTGTACGAATCAGGTGAAGGGGTCTTCCAACCCGTTATCGCAGGCAAGTACACAATCAATTTGAATACCTCACTTCCGGTAATGCACATCGCTTCCAGCCGCTCAATGTCAGGAGACCACTGTGCACTCTCATCATCAACACTCAAGCCACCGGGATGCATGCCTGAAAGCCTCACGGAAGCCCCTAATCCTCTCGTCACAATCGAGCCTACACCGCCAGCGACCTGCAGTCATCCCGGTCCTGTGTACGAAGCTGGAGAAGGGGTCTTCCACTCCGTCGCAGCAGGCAAGTACGCGCACAGTAAGAACATTCCTTGTCGGGTAACGTCTATCGCTTCCAGCTGCCCAGGGCCGTCAGCGCAGTTCCACTCAGCCGCTCTTCAATGCATCACTGAAGTTATCACAACGAGTCCAGTCAACATTACGACGTCCCTACAATGCTCCGTTGTTTCTGGATCAGAAACTAAAACAAGTTCATCTCAACGCCTCATCTCGGTGTACTATCAGAATGTCAGAGGCATGCGTACCAAAATTGTGCAGTTACGTTTGCTTCTCTCCAGCTGCGACTACGATGTGCTCGTCTTCACGGAAACTTGGCTTCGAGCAGATATCGATAGTACTGAATTTTCGTCCGACTATACATTTTACCGTTGCGACCGTAGTGCATTGACTAGTCAGCATTCTCGTGGAGGAGGAGTGCTAATCGCGGTCAAAACTCATCTCGTTTGCAAAGCTATGCCACTGTTGGATTGCGATCATCTTGAGCAAGTCGCAGTTTGTGTACGACTGGAATCTCGATCACTTTACCTTGTTGCGATTTACCTTCCACCAAACTCAAGCGCCGACCTTTATTCTGCACATGCTAACGCAGTGCAACATGTTGCAAACTGTGCCACCGCAGCAGACATCATTATGTCTCTGGGTGACTTCAACCTTCCTAATTTACGCTGGCAGTTGGACGAAGATGTAAACGGTTTCATACCCTTGAATGTTCATTCCGAACACGAACAGGCACTCATAGAAACTATGTTTGCTACTGGTTTGCAGCAAGTTAACCGCTACGTGAATGGGAATGGCAGACTACTCGATCTCGTATTCGCCAGTCTTCCAGAGCAACTGGACCTCGTTGAACCCTCCACGCCTCTGCTGCCCGCTGACATTCACCACGTGCCTTTTGTTTTGCTGTTCAATGAGAGCAATGACAATTTAGTGGTAGAGAATGAGTCGGACGAAAATCTTAACTACGATTTCCACTCGTACGATTTTGGACAGTTGAAATCGGCTCTGGCTGCAATCGACTGGGAAGCTTTACTGCTATCTGAGCCTTTGGATGAATTATTATCAGCATTCTATGAAAAACTTTACGCAGTGCTCAACGACTATGTACCTCGGAAAAGGCGAACGTTCAGTCCAGTTTCCAGTAAACCATGGTGGACCCCTGAACTACGACATCTTCGCAACATCCTCAGAAAAGCACGTCACCGTTTCTTTCTTTCGAAATCTGAGAACGACCGCGAGTACCTTCGTGAAGTGGAGCTGCAGTACAAAACAGTTCTTCTATCCACCTATGAACGCTACCTATCCAGGATCCAGGACAGAGTAAAACAAAACCCGTCGTGTTTCTGGGACTTCGTGAGGAATCGGAAAGCATCTACTCGCATCCCATGTAACGTTAGCTACAATGATCTCCAGGCTAATACAAATGTGGATGCTGCTAACCTTTTTGCCATATTCTTCGAGAGCGTGTTTAGCAAAGTGTCACCTGTACCAAGGCGCGACTGCTTTGCACATATTCCGTCGCACATCATCAACCTTCCTGTCATTCAGTTCTCCACCGAAGAAGTTCTACGAGCCATCGATGACCTTGACATCAAAAAAGGATCCGGAACAGACGGTTTACCACCTCTGCTGCTGAAAAACTGTTCCGAAGAACTGGCGAATCCAATTGCTCACTTATTCAATCAATCGCTTCGTGAAAGGACCTTTCCAGCGGCTTGGAAATCTGCTTACGTTGTTCCTATACACAAGTCAGGCAACTGTAACCAGGTGACAAACTATCGCGGAGTATCTATTCTTTGTTGTCTCAGTAAAATATTTGAAAAACTGGTGCACAATGTTTTATACAACGTAGCGTCTCCGATTATCTTCGAAGGTCAGCATGGCTTCATGAAGCATCGCTCTACAACAACGAACCTCATGTGTTACGTCACCACAGTGTCCCGCGAAGTAGAAGAGAGGCGGCAAGTTGACGCGGTGTATGTTGACTTCGCGAAAGCCTTTGATACCGTACCGCACATTCAGCTCATTGAGAAACTGAGGCACATAGGTTTTCCAGATTGGATTACGGAGTGGATTTCTTCGTACTTATGTGATCGTACCGCATATGTTGTGATCAACTCGGCTCGTTCCCGCTCTTTCAACATCACGTCTGGTGTAACCCAAGGAAGCGTTTTGGGACCACTATTATTCAACATTTTCATCAATGATCTGTGTTTGCGGCTTTCCTAGTTCAAGCTCTCATTCGCTGATGACCTTAAATTCTATCGTGTCATAGCTTCTCTCTTGGACTGCTTTGCTCTGCAAGAGGATATCAACACTATGATGATATGGTGTAGCGATAACGGCATGCGAGTTAACAACAAGAAATGCAAAATTATTTCCTTCAGTCGCTGCAATAGCCCCATTCTGCATCAATACAGGATGGAAACGGCGGAATTAGAACGAGTTTCGTCCATCTGCGAACTCGGTGTTACCATCGATACAAAACTAAGGTTCAACGAACACGTGGGAATTATGACTGCCAAAGCTTTTTCTGTGCTGGGATTCATCCGTCGCCATGCGTCCGAGTTCACCGACATTTACGCGTTAAAAACTCTCTACTGTTCGTTGGTTCGTAGCATTATGGAGCACGCTGCTCCAGTTTGGGCCCCTTACTATGTAGTTCATGTTCTTACCATTGAACGGGTACAGAAAAGGTTCGTACGTTTTGCATTGAGACAGCTTCCCTGGAACGATCCGTCTAATCTTCCTCCCTATTCTGACCGATGTAAGCTCATAGGATTGGAGCCACTATCTACCAGACGAGTTACGATGCAGCGATTATTTATTTTTGATGTCATCGGAGGATTTATTGATTGTCCTGAACTTCTCGCACAGATCCCACTAAACATTCCTCCCCGACGGTTTCGGAACTCACCTTTATTAGCAGTTCCATACCACAGAACAAACTACGGATACAACAACCCGTTCGATTCGTGCCTTCGCTCGTTCAATGTTGTTTGTGACGAATTTGATTTTAATTTGACCAAAAATGTTTTTAGAAATAGGATTAGAAGCAATCTTTAGTTTATAAGAAAATAGTTCAGTCTGTACGACTAGTCGAAGACGGTGATATATAAAATAAAAATACGATGATAAGGTGATTGGTAGCCTCACCAAATAGACTACACCCGGATATATTCCGGGTACCCCCAGGCAGTGGCGTAGCGTCACTGGATGACAGGGGGGCGGGGGGCTTGGTCACTGATAATGACAATAAAATAAATAAACTTGAATAAGTAAGAAGGGTCTGATCACACCATAGGTGGATAATTTCGGGTTTTTTTATTTAACGTCGGTCTCTGTTCCGCAATCTAGTGCCAATCACCGACGGACATCGATTACCATCCATTGACGGCAATCGAATGTGCAGGAAGGCAGCTTCCACACCTGCGTAGGATATCGCACCCATTAAAACACACATGGGCCGGGACCAATGGCTGTACTTCCCTTCCGAAGGAAGACGTGACCAGAGATTTTTATGCCTCAGAAAAATCCCACCGACCTCGGCTGGGATTGAACCCAGACCCATCGGGGTGTTAGAAAGCAGTCACGCTTACCACTACACCACCGGCGCACTATGGGGCGGCTCCATACAAAGTGGTGGCCAAAAATATTTTATTGGTTTTTCCGCACTTTTTGATGGTATTATAGTAAGTTAAGCATAAAATTAGTCATATTTATGTATTTTCATCGCATCCGGAAGGTGTAACTAGTATTAAACCCAGTAATGAGCTACTTATTCCTGAACAATAAACTTGAAAGTTTGTTTTTAATTTTAGGGACAGTTCAAATGCAAATCAAAACTAGAATAAGGTTGCTGTGCATAAGATTAAATAGGAAAGGTGGAGGTGGAAACCCCCCCCCCTCCTAGCCAAGACCTGACCCCTCCCCCGTTTTTTTTTATATATGTGATATAAGAGTATTGTTTTACCAATCAGGTATTTTGATGAAGAATTATTTGTCTATCGAACCTCCCTTCTACTGAAAATATTTTTTCCGTCCAAATCTCGCCTTTAGCATCATAAGGGCGTATCTGCATTGATCGATTTTCTCTTTCGTTAATAACTTGGCCAAACCGAAACC